TCCCTCTTCCTCTTCTTTCCTCTTACCTTTCTTCTTATTTTCGATCCTAAAATCCATTAGGGTTCAAGACTGATAACAGTCCTGAACTTCTACTACTTTCAAGTTGCATAAAAGCCTTTATAGGTTAAGGTAGGCACCAAAGCAATGCTCTAAGAAGTTCGAATCATAAAGATGGGTCATGGGTATATAGTGATTTAAAAGGTGCGCCTCAGGCACACCTAGGTGCACAGGCGAGGCGCATTTTAGGGTAGGCGCCTCACCTAGGTCCTAGATGTAGCCCATTCTAAAGGCACACGCTTGGTGCACCTTGCGCCTTAGCCCAGGTGTGCGCCTTTTGAAAATTTAACGCTTTTTCCTTTTTTGAGTCTAGTGGCTGGGTCGGGGGCTCCACCCCCGGACCTCCGTGACATGCCCCTCGAGGCAAGCACCGAAGCTACGAGAACCCCCTATTTGGTAATGCTGTCCATTCATTCATCCTAATAAAATATCTTCTTAAAAGCAATTAAAACTATAAAATCATTATTTTTTGTGTGAAAAGTCAGAATTTAAGACCCTAACATGGACTTGTTTGGGCTTGCCTCGAGGGGCGTGGCACAAAGACGGCTCGTAGAATTAGGAATGTAATATGTCACATTAGCTACTTGATTTAATTGAGAAAAAAGAGATTGTGGGGTTTATATGCTTGAAAATGTTTTATATGTTTGATTTCATTTTTAAATTCTCATTTGAATATGCTTTACATATTATGTTTATGCATTTTAATTTTAGATAATAGGTTTTTTAAAACATTTATTTTAAAATTCAAGTTTATATTTTTATTAATATTATGTTTTATAATTTTTTGACTTTTTTTAGCTTTTTTTTAATTGTGCGTCTCACCTTGCGCCTTGCGCCTCAGGCACAAAATGGCCCTTGCGCCTTTCGCTTTTAAAACACTGTGGGTATAAAGGATTAGATCTAGACTATTATGTGTATGTAAGGAATTGCTCCAAGGGTAACATCATTATATTGTTGCTCTATGTTGATAGTATGCTAATTGTTGGAAGAGATATTGACATGATTAGCAGGTTGAAGAAGGAATTATTTAAGTCCTTTGGCACTAAGGACTTTGCCCAGCCTGACAGATTTTGGGCATGAACATTGTTTATAACAGGAAATCCAGGAAACTTTGGTTATTAAGAGAAATATATTGAATGGTTACATACAAAGTTCAATATGAAGGATATTAAATCTGTCATTTCAAGTTGAGTTCCATGTCTTGTCTGTCTAGTAAGGAAAAAAAGAAGTTGAGGTGTTCCTTACTCCTCAACAATGCGGATTTTGATGTATGCAATGGTTGCACAAGACCCGATATTGCGGGCATGTATCTTGCCAACCTAGGCAAGGAACACTTAACATCCATCAAGTAGATTTTTAGATACTTAAGAGGTACTTTTAAGTTATGGCTATGTTTTGGAGGCTCAAAATAACCTGTTCTGGAAGGCTATACAGATTCGGATTTAGCAAGAGACCTTGAGTCAAGGATATCTACTTTGGGGTACTTGTTCACTTTTGCAAGGGGAGGCAATTTATGCTGGAAAAGAAATATTATGGATGAAAAGGTTTCTTAAAGAACTGGGTTTGTCACAAGAGAAGTATGTGGTATACTATGACAGTCAAAAGTTTTATAAACTTGAGCATGAATGCTGCATATCATTCCTGAACTAAGCATATTGATGATGCTACCATTGTCTATGTGATGTCTTGGAACAATTGATGTAAGTTGAAAAGAACCACTCTAACTGGAATCAATTTGTAATGATAATGAATGTGGATCCCAAGGAGAAGCATGGATTCTATAGAACATTGTGCAGGATGGATGCTAGGTGAGCACTCTAGTTGGCTTTGTATTCCCTCATGGGGGGGGGGGGGTGAGATTATTGAGGTATACCAGGGGTCAACCCCATGAGGATTGCTCACTTGTGTTAAAGTATAGAAAGGGGCAAGAGAGTAGTTTCTCTCTTTGACCCTAGTTAAAAGAGAGTGACACTAAGTTTGGCTTGGGGTTTTTACTCTTGAGGAAGAAAAAGTAGGTTTTTCTCTTGTTCTCAGGAAGGAAGTGTACAAAGAGACTTGGGTGCTTTCATGGGTGGTATCCTGCTCCTCAGAAAGAACTATTAGACTCTAGTTCATTGGATTGGTTTTCTCCATTGGTGTGTAGAAGCTGTTCTTTCAGTGAGGAAGTTGCAAGTAATTTGGTGCATTGCAGTGGTAACCCAAAGATTTTTGGCATAAAACCTTGAGAACATTCTGTACTGTTACTATTTGATATAGTGGATTTTCTCTCTGTATTGCCTCCTGGTTTTTCTCTCTTCATTGGAGGGTTTTCCACATAAACCTCTATGTTGTGGTTTGCCTATCTTCTATTTGATATTTTTCATATTATTGTGGTGTGGTTGGCTATTGTTTTGTTTTACACGGTTCATGCTTAATTCTCTAACCTAGAAAATCCACCATTTCCTCGTAGTTTTTCCCTCTTCATTGGAGGGTTTTCTATGAAAATCTGTGGTTTTTCCTATCTTCTATTTCATATCGTGCTTATTATTGTGGTGTAGTTGGTTATTGTTCAGTTTTATATGGTTCATGCTTATATTCTGTAATCTAGAAAAGTAGAGTTTTTCATTTTTATGGATACTCTGTATTTCACTAATGTAGGTTATTTAGGACTGCAGAAACAGGGTATTTGGGAAGAATGCCTAAAACAGAGTATTTAGGAGTCACAGGGCACTCCATATTTCTCCATATGAGTATATTAACACAGCACCAACCAAGAGGTTTCTTCAATAGGAATCACAATCCACACCAAACATTGGATCAACCGGCATTAATGTGGCTCACAAGCTGTATGGTCATCTTACTCTTGGTCCCACAAACAGTCTATTCACCATAATCTTCTTAATCTCTATTTGTATTCAAACAAACAAAGGGAATCACATTACTTCAACAAATACAAATAGGGAATCACTATTTGTATTGAAACTTGCTCTAATATCATGTAAAGGTTCAGTTACAGGTATTAGAAGCGGAGAAGAGAACTGAGTAAAGAGAGCAGTCACGCTTTGAGAAAAATGAAACTGCTGAATGACAGAAAAAATACTCTCATTTGGCCAGATCTGTGTGTATAATAGAATTCATAACTGATGAAAAATTACAATTGTACTCCTTTAAGTAAAAAATCTCACATATTCTTCTCCACTTATATGGGATATAAATGATGCTATTATAGGTCATAGACTTTTGTATAAACTGTACTGCACTCCAATACTGCATTTAGGTAGAAATATCCTATATATTGCAGTATTTCCCGAGGCAGGAGCTTAACATTAAAATCTACATTTAATATGAGTTGTTTTTTTTTTCATCTTTTGTGGAGCCTTGTGTGCTTGTAAAGGATATACCACTTCTATATGCCCATCAGCACATTCTGCCTTTAAAATACATCTATACCATATAAATATTTTTAGAATTCTATAATTCATTCTTTCTATTTACAGGTTTCATATGAGAGGTCCTGTGAAAGACTTCATAAAGAGATAAACAATTTCTGGTTTGATTTTATACCGGTTACTTTGAAGAATGAATGGGAAAACTGTAGAAAAGGTATTCAGTCATTCAACATTCTTTCTCTTATTTTGCTACTGATAAAAGAAAAAGAAAAGAGTGGCAACTTTTTATTATTTTCACACATTGCTAAGGTTTGAATACAGAAAATCATGTCATATGAAGTTTGTGGCATTTCAATAGATTTACTCTTGGTATCATATTGTAGCTCTCACAGAATCATCAGAATTAAAGGATCCCTTTTTTACTCTTGGGCTTTCTTCTCAGAACCACACGCCTGATGGTAAGTACATCTTCTATCTTAATATTTTGTGCTTTGCATTGTTATTATTTTTTGTATAGCAGCTTGTTATACTTGTTTTGGTTTTTTCAATGAAATTATACTTTACTTTCTCTCAAAAAAAAATCTCTTCTGAGATGCCAAATGGAAGTTAGTTGTTGCCCCACCATAACTTTAGTCTTACTGCAATACTAAATTTTGTACATTTACACATTGCAGAGGATATGACATCTTCTCTTGCTTGGGAAAGGATGGTCAATGTAGTCAAGGTTTGCATCGTTGTTTTTGTATGATGAATGCCTGGTTTGCAGCAGTGCCATATATGTTCCTTCTCTATATTCTATTTATGGAAGCAATTTAAATTATTTCCTGGATTTTATTCACCCAGAAATTTTATTGTTGTTGTTGTTGTGCAATTGAGAAGAACAGATAAGAGAAAAGAGAGACAAAACAAAGTTGAAAAGGTTGTAAGTGGTCTAGCAGCATCCACTAGTATGTGTTTGGTATCAATGTCATTTCTCCAGGGTGTTTCCACTAGGTCAGCACCATGTAGGCGTTTTGCTTTGCTCCTAACTTTTTTTTTTTTTTTTTTGGTTGGATGTTTTCTGTCTATTTCAAGTAACACTTAGTGTCTGGTTTTGTGAGAGCCACTTTTGAAGAAAGCGTCATTTTGATGCTTTTTGCAATAGAGCCAGTGTCTTTTTTTGTTTTCTTTTTGCCTATGTGGCACCTAATGGTGCCAGTGATTTAAAAGGTGTGCGTAGGCACTCAGGCGAGGCACATTTTAAGGTATGTGCCTCACCTAGGCCCTAGGCGCAACACTTTCAAAAGGTACGCACTTGGTGCGCCTAGGCATGCACTTGGTGTGCCTTGCGCTTCAGCCCAAGCGTGCTCTTTTTTTAGTTTTTGTGCTTTTTGTTCGTTTTTGAACCTAGCAGTTGCATTGGGGACTCTGCCCTTGGACCCCCGGCCAAGCCCCTCGAGGTAAGCCCAAGAAGTCCATGTTAGGGTCTTAAATTCTTAATCCCTACACACAAAAAAATGATTTTATAATTTTAATTGCCTTTTAAGAAGATACTTTATTAGGTTGAATGAATGAACAACATTAGCAAATAGGGGGTTCGCTCGCTTCACTCACCAAAGCTCCAAGAACCCCATATTTGCTAATGTTGTTCATTCATTCATCCTAATTAAATATCTTCCTAAAAGGCAATTAAAATTATAAAATCATTTTTTTTGTGTGTAGGGATTAAGAATTTAAGACCCTAACATGGACTTCTTTGGGCTTGGTACAAACACGACTTGTAGAATTAGGAATGCTAATGCTTTCCATCATATTAGCTATTTGAAGTAATGCAATTGAGGAAAAAATTGAGATTGTGGATTTCACATGCTTGAAAAGGTTTTTATGTTTAATTTTATTTTGAATTTTTCATTTGAATACACTTTACATGTTATGTTTATGTATTTTGATTTTAGATAATAGGTTTTTTAAAACATTTATTTTAAGTTTTAATTTTATATTTTTTATTAATATTATGTTTAATATTTTTTTTTGCATTTTTGAATTTTTTGGCATTTTTTGTATTGTTGCACCTTGCTTCGAAAAGATGTGCGCCTTGGGCGCAAATTGCCCCTTGCCCTTTTTTTATGTCTTGTGCTTTTATAACATTGAATGGTACTAAACCTAGAATAACTTTACCGAATTCTAAGGTGTGGTCATTGCTTGAGAATACGACATTGATACCAAACATAGCCTTAGTTAATATATATGAGAGTGTCATAAAGTTGGGTAAAGAGACAAGTATACCCCTGTTTACACTTGTATTACAAAATACAGCATTAAAACCAATGTTTTAAAACTGACCTAGAAACAGAACCATTTTTGCCTCAGTTACCTCAGTTATTGGGTTAGTGGTTCAACCATCCAGATCGACTCGTGATGTCATAAATAAAATATTAAAATTTATAAATATAAATTATAAAAATTTCAGAAATAATTATATTAAAAAGCCTACAGATTGAAAATGTAATAGAATGATGGAAGATGTAAAATAAATACAAAATGCAAAAATTGTTGTTCATTCAATTAAAGTGTAAGATTGACCAAAGATATAAATCAATGTATCAAAGCAATCAAACTACAGATTTTCTAAAAAAGTGGTAAAATTGTAATAGACGGAGGAAAACCCTCTTTCTTTTGTTGTTTTGGTCACTGCTTCATCACTTATGTTTGGCGTTCGAGGATAATTGCTGATTTTGTTCACCATTGCAGGTCATCATTCACACTCTACAGTTTATCTGTTTTTTGCCCTGATAGGTCTTGAGGTAGCCATCTTACCGGTCTTGTTCGCCATTGGAAGAAGAGGTCATTGCTTGTAGGTTCAGAGTGGAAATGAAGAGAAGATTATGGTAGCAAGGAAAGGAAACATAAAAAGGCAAAAAAGTAAACCTGGTTTTGGGGGAGAGAAAGAAGAGTACAGGTGTTGGAAAAGGAGAAATGAAAAGACAAAAAGTAGAACTACTTTTGAGAAATGGGAATAATTGAATAGGTTCAACAGGATATAGTGTAGGACATACAGTCATTTATTTATTTATTTTATTTTTGCTTGAAAGGCAACCTGCAAACCATTAACCGAGCTAAACGGTTCAATGGTTAAACCATCTGAATCACTGATTGTTTTGACCGATTCAACAATTTTTTTCCAAAATATCAGCCTAGGGCATAAATGAAACCAGGAACATGACCGGTTTCCAGGTCAAACAGTTTGACCACCCGGGTCAACGGAATTTTTAAAATACTGGTTAAAACACATCATTACACTACTCCCCCTCAAGTTGGGACATATATATCATTTATCCCCAACGTGTTACAAAGATTAGTGAGTTAAATGCTTGATATACCCTTAGTAAAATGCATCACCTTGTTGCTCATTTGAGCCTACATAAGGAGTAAAAATCTCCTCTTTCCAATCTTTTCCTGATGAAGTGTTTATCGTCTTTAGATATGCTTCGTCCTTCCATGTAGCATTAGATTGTGAACTATATTATTAGCAGCTTTGTTGTTGTAGTAGAGTGAGCGCTTTTACCAAAAATAAAAGGCTGAGTAGCAAACCCCAACTCTGCAAGAACATTCCTAAGCCATAAAATTTCAGTCACTCCACAAGTTATGGCCCAATACTTAGCCTCTACTCTAGACCAAGCCACCACATTCTATTTCTTGCTCCTCCAAGTCACCAAACTCCCTCCAACAAAGGTACAATAATTTGTAGTGGATCTCCTGTCATCAACCAATCCAACCCAGTTTGCATCAATATATGCCTCTACCCTTAAGTGCCCATATTTAGAGAAAGAAATTCTCTATGCTCATATTGACTAAGGACTCCCATTGCACAGGAAATGTCTAGTCTAGTCATAAAGAGGTATAGAAGCTTACTAAAAAGTCCTATGAAATTGCTTAGCATCAGCAAGAGCTTAGCATCCATTCTCCCCAAATCTGTAACTAACCACAATTGTACTATTAGCTAAATTGACTCTTAACTTTCTAGTGATCTAGAGAAGATCTAGGATGTACTTACTTTGGTAGATGAAGATGCTCCTATCTAGCCTAGAAACTTCAACCCTAAGTAAATATTTAGCAAGCTTAGATTGTTTACTTAAAACTGTGACTGTAGAAATGCCTTTACCTTTTGATTTTCAGATTCCCAGTTTCTGGCAACGAGTCTAATGTCAATATCATCAACAAAAAGGCATTTTTTATGTCCAACTGATATAGGTGCCAACCAAAATTAGCAGCCAGAGAAAGGACCTGTATGGAGTTCATCTTAGCAACCAAAGAAAAAGTTTGTGTAATCAACTCCATACATTTGAGAGTAACACTTGGCAACCAACTTGGCTTTATATCTCTCCATTGTTCGATTTTCTCAATGTTTTAAGGAAAACACCGGTTTGCACCCAATAGGCTCTTTCCCTTTAGGAAATATCTGCCAAGTCCCATGTATCATTTTTGTGAAAGGGCCTTTGTAACATTTTTAGGAATGAAGGTACTAGAAATAGTAAAAAAAAGGCATGAAAAAGAGAAAGGTTATCACAAGTGGTATAATTTGCAATTGGATATACTTAGTCGTACAGGTTTAAGTACCTTTACGAAGAGCAATAAGAACATCAAGATAATTAGAAGGAGAAATACCTAGCTGAATAGGACATGTACTACTCTTCAGATTTGTCTCATGAGATCATGTTGGCATAGGTTGCACTGTTTCTGATTTGTTCACACTTGGAGATTTATGCTAGTCTTTTTGCAACAAGAGTACACAAAAATGGGCTTAAACACAGAAATAGCAAAGAAAGGTGAACTTACCTGTCCTGAAGCTCCCTTTGTAACTTCTCTCCTTGAGAGACAGGATAAAAGCAAGGACTAACAGTCCAAGAACATAACATCCATGGATATGTAAACTCTCTGAGAGATAGGGTCATAACACCTGTACCCTTTTTGAGATGACAAATACCTAAGGAAGATACAATAAATAGAATGAGAGTCCAGCTTCCCACAAGGAGGCAAGACATGAACAAAGCATTGACATCCAAAAGTCCAAATAGGACTAGAGAACAATGGATACTGAGGAAAGAGGAATTAATGGGGAGCCTTGAATTGAAGTATATGAGACAGCATTTGATTGATCACATAGGCAGTAGCAAGTACAACATCTGCACAAAACCACCTCGGTGCATTCATATGAAGTGTTGAAGAAGTTTATGTTTCTGATTCTTATGTTTATGTTGTACACACTCTAGTAGGCGGCAGGGCATTTTCAACAGGGTGTATAGGGCTGTGAGTTGCTGATCAAATACAGATTGAATAATCTGATTGGAAGAAGGGTTTTGGAGATTTTTCAGTCTGAGTTTTGAAGCCTAAAGAGAGCTCTAGAGATTTCTGCCTAGAGCCCAAGAAGACTAGAGATTTCCTGATCATGGATTTCTGGATGTTGATTACTTGTTCTGACTGCCTTTTTTAGACATTGTTTGATCTGTTAAGAGTCTGGGGAGGGAGCAGAGCAACTGGGTTTGTTTTCTAGAGTGTCTATTGACTGCAGCACCGGTTTTTTGCCTTTTCCAGTTTTGGTTCAGGTGGTTTTTGGTCAGTGCAGGCTTGTAAGGTGACTGTAGGTCACTTCTTATGGTGAAGTAGCATTATTTTTAGGTTAGTGGAGGTGTTATTGCTTGGCCAGACCTGATGGAGTTGTTGGGGACAGATTTGAAGAAAGTCTTGGATGCTGGAATGGTTTCAGGGGAATCGGTTGTTCGGACCTTGGGCTCAATTACCAATGTAAAGCTGGATGGGATTGGAAACACTCCTTAGAGTGGTCCCAATCAATTTGCATCTATTTTGATGGTAGGGGCAAGTTGGGATATATTATTGGATCATCCCAAACCAGAGAAATCTGATTCTTCACATTCAAAGTGGATGTAAGAGAATTATTTGGCCATCTCCAGCTTGTGAATTCAATAAAGCCACATATCGGCTGCAACTTCATGTGGATTGAGACAACAAAGAAATATGGGAAATTATGGCTGAAACCTGTTCCCAAGGTATGAATGTGGCTAGAAGTTATCAAATAAGAGGAGAAACCAATAATCTGAAACAAGGGGAGAAGCCTCTAGCAGTTTTTTTTTCTATGTTGAAGTGCTATTGGCAGCAGGTAGACCAATTGGAGAGCTTGGATGAGAAAGCACCAAGGATGCTGCCTTGTACAAAAAGACTGTTGAAAACAATAGAATATTTGAGTTTCTGATGAGACTGAATGTAGGGGTTGGTGGTTGAGAGAATTCTTTTTGTCTTTTCTCTTTATTGGATGATTCCTCATCAATATATCTGATTGTAATATTTTTTTTATTTTAATGAAATGTTCTTTTTTATTTATCATAAAAAAAAAGAAAGACGAAACAAAAAGTTTGAAAAGGTTCTCAAGTGTAATTAATATATATTAGGGTGTCATAAAGTTGGGTAAAAGGACAATTATGTCCCGGAGTACATTTGTATTATAAATAAAATACAGCATTACAACATTATTGTTATTATTAATATTATTAATTAATAGTTAATAATAATAATTAATATTATTAATAATTATTATTGGGCATTGGGTTGTATATAGCAGAATTGTATATCCTCTGTTCAGTTCCTCATTGTACAGGGGTTTCATTATTTTTTGGCTTTTTGATTTTAATGAAATACTTTACAATTTCCAAAAAAATTATATTAATATTATTATTATTTGTGTGTATGTTAGCTTCCAAATACTCAAGAATCTCTTTTTTTTTTTTTTCTTTTTTATTTCAAGCATTGTTGCCAACATTCATCTTTCTCAGGCATGTATCTATTGTTGATTTACCAATGAACCTTACCCTTGCAAAAACAAGGTTTATTGTTGTTTTGAAGTCCTCATAACAATAAAATATACAGGTTTTTCTTCTCCATAATCAGCTCAAGGCATTTATCTCAAAAGGAGTTCCTTTAGAAAATCCTCTACCACACTTGGAAAACAGTTCTATGAGTTTATCTAGAAGAGTAGATGCTTCTCCCACAACCTCTGGGACAAATCTGCACTTAGGTGGGCACCTTTGGTTTCAATCTTAATTGGTTCATTGTAGCTTTCTCCTTCACAATTCTGCTTCCTATAATTGACTTCCAAAATTGTTTTAGGTACTAGAGTTCCTTGTAAAATTGCATTTTCAAAAAGTGGGGTTCAGGAGATTTACATGGTGCCAGTTGTGAATGGAATTTCTGGAAAGTTACTTCTCACGGAAGAACTTCCCCTCTATACACATCAAAGAGTGGTGATTGCTATTGCTCCATTGGCTGGGCTAAATGTAAGTCCATAAGTCAGTTCCTACTTTTTGTATTAGTGCCAAAGCATTGATATTGAATACAAGTTTGATTTCACTTTGAGAAATTTGTTCATGAAACCAACATATTAAGGTAGTATTTGTCAATATGGACAGTTACAATTACAGTGATTCTTTAGATTGGAATTGTTCAAAAGCAGCAAAAACTTTCTTATCAATGGTTTTGATTTCAATGTATGGGTTCTACAGTCACTTTTTTGAGATTTTGAAATCAGAAAATAAAAAACAATTTCACTCTGTGGGTTCCACAATCACTCTCCTTTAAGTTGTCTCGTATTTGTTCACCTGGTGGTGGTGGTGGTATTGTTATTATGCATCTCCACCTTTTGCATATTTAGACTCCAGACAAAAAAAAAAATCATATATACTCAAAACTCCTTTTCATGGATACCATACTAAAATTAAAGTGATCCTGCACTTGCTTGCAAAAGTCTCTCGTCATATGGTCTAGTCATATATGAGGGGTGTTTGGCACTACTTGTATTTATAAACAATTTTCTTTAAAACTACTAGAACTTGATTTAATGGATAAAAAAACAGAAGGACAACAACTTATTAGCATTTACAAGTTCCAATAGCAAACCATAAAAATTTATATCTTAAGTTCTTAACTTAAGCCAACTCTCTGGGCTAAAATACATTCCAACTTAAAAAAGGGCAGCCAAGAACCTGCCAATGCAGGGTCTGGGGAGAGACTCATGTATGCAACCTTACCCTGCAGATACACAGAGAGGCTGTTTCCAAGATCTGAACCCTGATCACCTGGGTTGCAATGGAGCAACCTAACTGTTTCTACCAAGGCCCACCCTCAAAATGCTTTCTAACTTAGTACAGAAAATTAATTAACTACATGAAATAACAGTCAATCATTAATAATTTTTAAGTCATTCTATGGTACAGAAAATTTCTGTATTGCTACCACGAAAGCATGTAAAATATTGAACATAGCATCTTACACTTCAACCCTATACAGTTTTATTTGACACTGCCTGACACCCCTGCAGCTTTCATCAGTGACAGCCCCTCATTTACCCATACATGCATTACAACATTACAAATGCACAAATTAACAGATCTATGGTGTTTTTGTAACTGAGGTACAGAGAGATCTGTCCGGTATAGAAATTGTTTACTTCCTGTTTCCTAATTGAATTAAAATAAATTAAAAATTTTATGAAACCAAATAGGAAGAGTCTAAATTCTGTAAATCCTCTTGTTTTTGCTAATTGTCATGGGATCTATGTTCCTGGAGAGAAGTCCAGTTATTAAATGTCTAAACATTTATCAATCCTAGCTTTTGTTCACAAATTAGCCCCAACTTTTGTGCTTGCTTGGATTCCTATTTAACAGTCCTGAGAAACATAGTTGTCAAGGCATCGTCTAGGCAACTAGGCACCCTTGGCTGGTTGCCTCGCCCAAATGCCTTGACTTGTGGCAACTAGGTGCCAGCTAGGCGACAAAAATGACAATGTGGGCACCTTATTATAATATCATTTATATTGATGCATCTTATTAATATGTGTGTGAATACATTCTATTATATAAAATACATCATTTATACTTTGTTTTGATATTTTACTATTGAAATTTAGAAGATCAAAAGCGCTTGAGAAAGAAAAAGAAATAATAGAAGTATAAAGGTTCTTTTTTTTTTCTATTCTCCTTCTCTTCAATTAAATAAAACAGCAACTGCATCCTTTTTTTTTCTATTTTACTTTCCATCTTGAATTTTTATCATATAAAGTTAATAGCATTCTTTAGTTGCTAATTGATATGAAATTTGTCTGTTAAATACTTATTATAGTAGTATTATTTTTTTATAATTGATTATAGTAATATTATTTTTGAAAATAATGAAAATAATAAATTTAAAAGATTTTTTTATCTTTTAGGTATAATGGTATGCCACATTTTTAGAGAAAATTTAATGTTTTTAATAAAGAGAGTTGCTATTTTTTCAATTAATATGTATGCTGAATGGTATATAAAACTAGGGAACTAGCCAAAAATTACTTCTTTGTATTATAAAATTCTTCTTGCCTAGGTGCCCCAGTGTCGCCTAGAATTGCCTAGGCACCTTGACAATTATGCTGGGAAAGTAATTCTAGGTTGCCGTTTTTCTCTCATTAGTCCATACCATCTTTTATTGAAAAGGTCTTGATGTTCCTTAATATTAGGCCCATGGTTACCTTCGTCCCATTACGGTTGGCTATCATGTTTCCCTTTATGGATCCATGTAATTTTTATGCTAGGTTAGTACCTGCAGTAAATAAGAAAAATTGTTGGATTTGAGTTTTGGTATTTGTCACTGTTAAGAAGTTACAAGTTGCAACAAATGCTGCAAAAGAAACCACATACTTCTATAAATTGACTCTTCTCTATTTTCTGAAACAGCCAAAGGTAGACGACAATCATCCAATGTGGTTACATTTACGAATAAGAGAGTTTGACCCAAATCTTGATGCAAGGGCAGCCAGCAGAAATGACTCCAATAACCATGTGATGGATGGAAAATGGACGCTTGGTTTTCCAGATGCCAAGGCTTGTGAAGCTGCTCATTCATTGTTACTGAAAGAAATTAGCAAACAAAGATCCTCTGTTGAGAGCTTGCTAACTCCGCTCCTCCAAGATGTCTCTCAGAAATTTGTCAGATAGTATAAATGAGCGAACCTTTTTTTTTTTTTTTTTGTATTTTGTATCTTTGGCTCACTAAAACTGTGTATTTTACCAAAAAGGAAAAGCAAATAAAAAAAAAAAAATCTTTTTTCCATATGTAACTCTACCACAAAGGTTTTTGCTCTTACTCCCAAACTAGAGAGGATGGTCTTTTACAAAATGGAGCCATTATTCGGTGTATCTCGGGCTAGAAAGCATGAGAATATGGGTTCAAGTCTCAGAGCAGCCACTTTGTGCATAAAAAAGAAGAATGCCTGAGGTTTAAGACCATATCCAATCTACCCCTCCCAAGAATTGATACCACTGGTCGGTTTCGGTATTTTACCAGTTTGGTTCTTTGGCTTTTGTTTTTTTTTTTATATTTATAATATATTATAAATAAATAAATAAATACATAAAAATATATATACCGGTTAGTTTGGTTAACCATCAATTTTTTTATAGATTAACTGAAAACTGAAGGTCCTTCAGTTTTTCAAAAATACTGAACTGATCATTCCAGTTAATCACATTTTTTCGGTTTGGTTTTCTGTCTACCGGGTTGTAAAGAACCAATTGGAAGGCTATTTTAAGTGTGGAAAGACCAAATGCTTGATTTCGAGCTTCTTGGTTTTTTAGGTATGTCGATCTTTGCATGCAGTCTTCAGGTCTTCCGGTCTACAGGATACCAAACAGAAAAATACCAATTTTTCTCTTTTGAGCTTCCGGCAGACCAAAAGCTCTCAGGAAAGACGTGCCAAACACCCTCAAGAGCAGTTGAAAAAACACTTGGGCTTTCACGTTTTGATAATTTGTTCATCATCTTCCCACCATGTATGTTAGAGATGCCAGAAAGAGAATGAAAAAATAAATAAATAACTGTACAGATGCAACGTAAAACTGTGCATCCAAAAAATATACAATAATATATTTGGCCATGTTAAATTGTTAACTGTTACCTGGACTGGAAATTCACCGAACCTATTTTACAGCCCATATCCAGCCTAGTTTCTGTTTCAAAATTAGGTAAAACTATTCAAAAAAAAAAAAAAAAAACAACTTGATGGGGAAGGAGGATATATACTAGACAACCCCTGAAGACGTACCAGAAGATGTCACATGCTGGTCGAGCTAGTAGTAGCTAGTAGGGCTGCAAATAGATCAAATGAACCGGATATGGATATATCTGAATTTGATTCCTTTATATTGAAATTCAAATCGGATCATATTCATCAGATTTATATTTCAATTGCAGCCGGATGTTAAATAGTGTTAATAAAAATTAAAAAAAAAAGATCAAATTATTAATGAATGATAGTATATTTTATGAAAAATGAATAAAAAATATATAGATGAAAATTTAGTAAAAACATAACATTCAAACCAATTTTACAAATAGATACAATAGAAATCTTAATTATATATGAGTGTATATGTTTAAATTGAATTGAATCTGATTTTATTGGATAAAATAGGGGTGGATCCATATTCGATCCAATTATAAAAGGATGAAATTCGGATCAATATCTTTCATGGGATTGAATTTGAAATCGAATTGAGACAAACATATACCTTTTGCAGCCCTAACAAGTAGCCAATCCAGAAGCCACCTACTTGGTGAACAACTCGGATTCGCCATGTGATGCTTCTATGTGGCAGAAATATGACAGATCAGTAAGGAAGCTTACTGCATGATCCAATTAGGGATTCACCACCTACTGATTCTTCCATGTTCTATTTGTATTTTGAATTAGTAATATGGCCATTTGAAGTTTTTAACATTTAATATTAAAATTTCTCATAAAGGGGAGTTGATTGTGGCAGGGACTAGTTAAGCGCTTAAACTTGGCCCATTAATAGATGAAAGGGAAAGGATGCTATAGAGCTATTTCCGGCCCCAAATAATTTGCCATGTAGCCAGCTGAGTCATTTAGCAAAAGGCTGAATGTCTAAGGAATCTTTCATGTGGAAAATTGTTTTCAAAACTGGACTGGATTTTAATTTCCTGGAACTGGTCACCTGAGCGGTTTCATTTCGTTTTACCTTAAAATCACTTTTTTGACAAAAAACCGTTGATTTGATCAATGAACTGGGCGATTGAACTATCGACCCAGACAACAGATTTTGACCATTTTTTTTTTTTGTCAGTGGGCTGTCCGTTTGGACCAAATGGCCGGACCATTCTACCTGGGAATTGGACCCAGAACGGTTCCCTGTCCGGTCTGGTTTTAAAAACCTTGGTTAAAATTTAGAACTTTAAGGCAGGGATTGGACCCAGTTGCCCAAGGCCTCGCTCTAGAGCAACTCACTAGCTAGAATTGGACTCTCTACCCTTAATGATCTGTATTAACAGTCCCTCCAAGGCCCAAGCAGAAAGAAGTTTCGTGCTTCAGACTTGCTTAAGATCGAGGTGAATACCATTTTCACATTCCTCAATTAGATCCTCGTAAATCCAATTAACCAAAATTTCTGCTCTCATACGGTTGGATCATCTGGCTGAGTTGATACTTGGAAAACCTCTAGTCAAAACATAACCCCTTTGCATGCAATATGCCTGTAATGGTATTCGCGTTTACAGAGTGAAAACAAGGTCCACAGTTCAGGGGTAGTGGACCATTCCCTACACCATTGAAATAAGAAAGCAGCAACGCAGAAATTAAGACTCGGTCAAGGTAGATCATATAGTACTCCAAGTTTGGACCAGATAATATATGTTTTAGGTTTTTTGGACAGTTAAAATGGCTATCCTATTTGAACTTTGAGAGACAAACAGTATCCATGTACAATATTCTCGTCCTTTGGCTTTTAAATCGGTGATGAAACACAAGCATGTTTATGGGTGAAAAAACTAGAAATAAAATAGTGTAAGCTTTTGGAGAAAGGAGTGTGTGGTACGTAATTCCATCACCTTTATATTAACAAGGCTGTCATTTCAAAGTTAGAGAGCCTTTTTCTTTCTTTCTTTAAAGTATGCACAGCCAAACACTAACACATACAGTACTCTCTCTTTCTCTCTCTAAGATATTGCTTTTGCCCACATGGCCACGTATAAACACAAAGATGCCTATTTGAAACCCTAAAGCATTAAATGAGCGCTACTTTATAGCAGATAATGCCATATTTTACTTTTTAATGCTGCATTTATGAGGATGCTTTACTCTATAAATGAAAGAAGTGGATGAGGGCTTATTGTCATTTGGATCTGCGCAAAGTTTGATGGAGACTGAAGAAAAAAGAAAACCCTATAATTTTCACTTTAATACGCATCTCATGGTGCCCCCAAGGCCCAAGGCTTACAAAGGCTTACAATATTGGCAAGCAACCGTTATGGATGAAAGAAAAAAAAAGTTGGTTAAGAGGGTTTCTCAATGTGTAACTGTTTCTTTCCCTTCTTTTCTTCGTTCAAATACTCCTTTTCTAGCACTGCAGAGAGTGCTTTAATTGCCTTCAAATTATTTGGTGTCCTTTTGATGTCTTTTTAGACCAATGGAGATATGTAGACTTTTTGACTGAGACTAAGAAGACTCACCAGTAAAGAAGAGGACCTGCTGCACATGGAGATTGAACCCATTGATCAACTTCATTGAGCTAAAATGATTTTAGATGGTGGACTGTGTTTCAACTTTCAACCATGAGATTCCGGTCTGATCCGGCTTAAGCTGCATGTGAACACTCAAAAAGATGAGTGTATAAGATGGAAAGTGTTAAAAACTCATATAAACACCCAGAAGTCTGTATGAAGACCTGCCCAGAAATTATAGTGGTCCAAACTCCTAGCTAAAGTGGTACGTCTCAGAGTTGAAGTAGTGCAAAGAAGGCACGCACACACACAGACATACAGAGAGATTGATTACAGAGTTGGAACTTGGAAGCATTATATATATATATATATATATATATATTCTCAACCATTACAAGGCCAAGGTCATGTCATATCATATCAAAGACATGTACTAATTAATGCTTCCTTGGGCTCCCTATGAGTAAAAAACATTCCTATATCGTTGTTCCAGTGGCTACGAACTTCTGGGTGCTATTCATGCGTAGTTGTCATGAGATATTTCCGTTTTTCTATCAATGAACATATCTGTTGGGCCTTTGAAAAATTGCATCTCAATGATGTTTTCTTCATTCTTTTTGGAAAAATCACTTTTCTCCTACTGCTGGGACACTAAGGACGACAGCATTTGGGATTTAGGGTGCACACTAATCTGTTGTGGGGACTCGTGATAAATCGGTGGGTCTTGTGGGAAACAAGTAAAGCCGAAGATGATTGAGGAATGAAGGCCAGATCTCTCGTTTGGTGTGTAAGGGAACTTAGTTTGTTATATAATTAATAATCAATTGGTGCTGGTTTTGCTTTAACACCACCAATAAGGTATTGGTGGTGGTGGAGCTCTCCTTTCTATGCAAAGCTAAGGCACGCCAAGGAAGAAGACCAGTCACCAAACGAGGACCCTAGCAAAGCAGATTCGACCATGAAATCCCATAGCTAGCCAACAGAAGAATGAGAGGAAGCCCTTTCATGGGTTCTTCTTTTGTCTTTCTTAATCGGGTTATATTGATTGGAGAGAGAGAGAAGCTCCCTAGAGTAGACCATCCCCATTTGTTTTACTCAATCGGCCAGATGGAGGAATCTTGTGGACTATTCAATCTCTCTGTTGGATAGGGTAAGGGGACCCTCTGGGTTTGCCAAAAAATTCTCACTCAAGCCTAAGCTTCATAATCCACTTTGTCTTGGTTAAAAGTTTCAATATTTTAATTTTGCATTGAAAAACACCAAACTTGTTTGGTTTCTGTGAATAAAGAGCAGGGAGAGGAAAATGTGGTCGGTTCCCATTTTGGCCTTGAACCATCTTGCCACGGGGAAGATTCATTGGTTCATAGACTCCTTTAAAAACGAACCGACCGGTGGACCTTCCCCTGTACCCACTACTATTTTTGTTTTTTGAGTAAATGAGTCCACAAAGTCATAATCGGGTCCAATTCAGGACGATTGGTTAAGACCCATTAGGAATGTGGTCCAAAATCTGGACACTGTTGTTGACTGGAACCTAATTAAAAAAAAAAAAAAAAAAACATGATTAGTACATGAAATATATCCAGTTTTTATCT